AGCTTAGTTTCGAATGTACGCATGTTCGTTACGGTTAATACTAATTAAAGCGAGTAAATCTTTTCATAATTGTTATTGCTGTTATGCATTAGAGTGGCTTGAAGCCTAGTATGAGGGCTTTGGTTATATCATACATTCCTCCTGCAGAGCGGTAGATGAGTACTGAATTTGTCTTGGAGTGTGAAACTTTGGCTTGTATCACAAGAATGCTGAGTTATGGGCAAGTCGTGCCCCAGGCGGGAGTCGAACCCGCACCTCACGCTTTCCGGGCGAGTGCGCTATCCGTTACGCCACCAGGGCCGCTTTTACCCTCTCAGCTTAACGGCTGTTATCGGAACGCGAACTGCGGCGTAGTTATAACAAAACTGGCTTGTATGTTGGCTCATTTGAAAAGTCAATCCTATGAGTCACATAGACTTCACTAAGTTCTTACATTCCTGAATCAAAATGAAATGGGGGCTGCCTAAAAAGGGAGTGTTTAGCAACGAAAACTTACTTTTACTTCTGTTTTTTGGCACCTGATTACGCACTCCCGTTGTTGCGGCTGTTCGGCTTTGAAGGGGCATTTTGACTTTGCGCTAGTCAGGCGTGACGGGATGACAGTTGTCTCGAAAAGAAATATCCCATGAAAATCTCGTCTTATGCCATGTAACCACGCTCCATTTACAGGTAATTTGTATACGGTATCAAGAACAGTGTCACACATGAACAACTAGCATTTATTCCAAAATAAAAATAATGTAATGGTTTGAATGAAAAAGTTCCCCATAAGCAATGATTCAACAAGTGTACAACACATGGGGAGCAGACTCCATGTTTTGGCCTTGAAGCGGGAGGGTCCACAGACTCGATTGTAGGCGTTGCAACGGTACAAGTACGCACCGAGGCGCGTACGGGTAGTAGCTCATATAATAAAGTCATCGCGGCATATTGCAGCGTCTTGCTTGGGTTACTTTGTAGCGCGTGGCGCCCAAGCCCAGTTTTGAGCATCAAATCTTTGTGGCTTTAGACGTTAATGAGTCGCTGCGGGCTAGGGCGTCGCGTTCTGAAACGCCCTGCTTACTTTTCGGTTGAACACAGGACTGCAACACGGAGTTTAAAGGCACGGTCCGCGATGAGGACCTTATTTAATGGTGTTGAAATAAGGAAGACAACCTGGACTCGCTTTTAAAGAGAAAATGCCAAAGGGAACGTTGGAAACGCCCGTAATAGGACCACTTCAGTCTCAGACAGGCACTGATACGGGTAAAAGGGGCCGGAAGGAACTGACGTTTGAAATCGCATCCCAGTCGGTTCATTCCTAACGGGCCGCGACTCGTGCCAAGAGTGACTATGGAAGCATCTCTCTTCATGCTACCTGTGAGAGAGGATCGCTTTTGGCTGGAAGAAGCTTTGGAAGCGGAGTTTGGAGGCGGAATCACCGGAAAAAGGGAGGGTGTCACAGAGGCAACTTCAGTACACAACACACTGTCGCCGCTGGCACAAGTTAAAATCCACCGAGGGACCGCGCATAACCCACACAACCTTTTGCATTTTCACAGATCGCGGACGGTTCTCTTAAAGGCAGTTGGCACGATAAATCGCTATACAGATGTAGGATTTCCACGACTGGCTTAACAGAATTCCGTGACCTCGGACAGGCGCACCGTGGCGCCTTTTTCAAGGAGGGGACCTCTATGACGCCCTATCGAGCAACAACATTCCGTCCCAAACGCCTTCCTCGCCCGCCCGCCCACAAACGGACGACCGTTCCTGACGCTCTAATCGATTCATTTGCTAAGCAAATTATGAAGCGAAGGGATTGGTATGAAGCGGCCGTGATGCTGCATGCATACATGGGTACACATATGCAGCCGTATCTTTCGTAGCGGGTGATTGTAAGATGCTCACTGGGAAACTCGTCCGAAATCGATTTACAAGTCACTGAGAACGGAGGCTTTTTCTTCGCCGGATTTTCACTCCGTTCTTTCGCCATTTCCCCACTATACAGCGCCCTACTAGCATTTTAGCCGAAGGGCGGCGAAACCATCGTGCCAGCTGCCTTTAACTGAAATGGCAATTGTCTGGCGCCACCGCAGTTCACAATAAAGTCCGTAGAACTTCGCAGCTGAAAGCCGAGACATGGATTCTATGTGCAATAGTCTATAAAAAAGTCATTATCAACATAACATCCATAATTACGTGGAGTACAAGTAATTCAAGTTCTGCGTTCAGCAAGTACCTGACCGACCGATCAAGCTGGAAAGAGGGGTGTACATCTGGTTACAGACACTGTTGCACATCTTCGAACAGAACAGCTGTTTATTCTCCATTTCGGTTCCTGAAGCTCATGCCATTTACGGATAATGCTTCACTGGGCTCTCGAAAGGTTCTCACCAACAGTAATTCTCCTGTACAGGGTGGAGCCACTTCTTGGATGAAACACCTGAAAGCATTAGTGAAGCACAATTCACTGAACATGAAATGTTTGGTATACTCACTGCTAATGCCTATGTTCCTTCCCGCCGAGTACTGAGATAAGTTTTTTTTCTGATTATTTTGGTATGCGCAGTGCATTCAAGCCCCATAAGAAGTTCAGAAGTATTTCTAAGCATTTGGTCAGATGGTCTACTGATACAGTTGCAGAATGGGTCAACTGTCCATTTATTTGTTTTCATCCTCTCAAGCTAGTCCAGGGCGCAGTTCGGCGACGGGGGGGGGGGGGGCATTTTGCACCATTGCTACTTCCCATCGACGTGTCGACCTATCTAGACAGCCTCTTCTCGAGTTGACAGGTTTTACCATGATGGCTTGACGACCTTGCTCCAGCTTCACAAGAGTTCACAGGTTTCACCAGAGTGAGACTTGTAAACCGGAAAGTGAAGCGACGAAAGTGCAAAATCTCCTCCCTCCTTCCCCCCCGTCGCTGAACTGCGCACAAGTCCAGTCCTAAAGTGCTTTGCCGACCATGAAGGGAGAAGCATGGGTTACACCGTCCTTACTCTGCGAAAGTGTGATGGAGCTTCGGTAACCACCCATCGACAGGCGCAACCGTCCTTCTCACTTATCAGTTGGGATTGTTGTATTACATATAACAACGGCCAAAATTTATGAAGTGCAAGCTTAACCAATGCTTAGATAACTTCTATATGAGTGTGACCGAAGATTTCATAAATACCAGCGCATTTGCGTACCTTACAAACATACTCTCCAGCATCTTTTGACGGATCATAGTTCGATATTTCGAGTACGGCGTCGTTATTGTACAGCTTATACTTGGCACCAATTCCAGCTAGAAAACGATCATAAATTTTCGCAACATATCCTTGTCACTCACTGCCCTATCGGCGGCTTGCGGTACGTTCAACGAACGGAAACCATTTTTATCGCTGCTTCTGGCATATGGTGTACTGGCTTTTCGGGCCAGGGCACATCATTGGTTGGGGGTTTTGGCCAAATCCGTACGACCCCCTTTTTTTCAGGGGGCTGGTATGGCCGTCCCCCTTCCCATCTTACTTACCGTTTTCTTCGACTTTCCCAACTTTATATCACTTCACTTTCTCCGGAATTTCGCGAAAATCTTGCTGTCGAAGGCGGGGAAGAGGTATATAGTAGGCATGATACAGAAAACCACG